CGGACTCGTGTTTAAGAAAACCCGGACTTGACTTTTGAAAACCCGGACTCGAAATAGAAAAAAACGGATTCAAAACAAGGACTCTGTGTACGAGAATGCAAAGGTTTTTGGAAAGGTTTAATAATAGTTAACATGATAAACGATGATCTCTTTATAACAATAATCCGGTATATATCTTTAAATAAATTTCTAGAGTGCTGTTGCACTATCTGCAGGTGGCGTAGTGCTGATAAAGAATCTGAGTTGGTCGGTAATATTAAATTTGCGGATTTGTTCTCTCGCGCGGGTGTCCCTATCGCTTCCCGCTTTCTATATATAGATATAGACAGAATACTTTATTTGAAAAGCAATAAGCTTGGTTTCGAAAGGTGTAGATCACTTTCCGTTTTCTAGTGACTCAGTGTTATGTGTTATGTGAGGATACTAATCATATTTATACAGCAATATAAACAAAACTTACCACCTCAAATCTCTTCATTTTAGCATTGTTTTACAGATAAAGTACTAAACATTCTCTCTAAGTTTATTTGCCGCTTGAGAAACGCATAAAAAATTTGAATATAGTCATAACGAAGTGGAAAAGTGTATTCATTAATTTTGAGCGCGTGTTACGTAACATACAAAAGATTCTCCCCTCTTAAACATTAAAACTGGTTTGTTTTTAGATTCACGAAATATTAGCCAGCACAAAGCTGCCTTACAAAGACGTCAGGGTTGTCAAAACAAGAGAAGGTGTGTATCTGTGCTAAAAGCCTGGTTTCCATATGGTCGTAACGGTCGTAAAGATGGAGTCACGATCTTTCTCATCAGTCGAAATACAACATTGTAGAACTGAAAATACGCGGAGTGATTATAACTAGAGAATACTTGTGATTTATATGTGGTTTACAGGTATAAACTATTATAAACTGGCCGTTGAGAAAGATCGTCACTCTATTTTTTCGACCGTTACGACCATACGGAAACCGAGGCTATAAAGTGACGACCTCGAACGAGACAAATTCAACTACACACGTAAAAATGCACAAGTTGTTCCAGGTCTGCAAACAAGTTGTTATAGATCTGTTCACAAGCTGTCAACAAGTTGTCTTCGCAATGCTTGTTCCCAGTTGTTGCATGTAACAAATTTGAAACAAACTGTTAACAACTTGTAACAAGCTTGATGTCATTCTCAGACTAATGTACACGGTTGTTCTAACAAGTCTGGTAACAGTCATGATATAACAAGAATGTTACAAGGTTGACGACACAAGTTTGTAACAATATTGTTATATCACGACTGTATCGGACTCGTTGGAACAACCTTGCAACAAGTCTGATAATATCAACAAGCTTGTTACAGATTGTTAACAGCTTGTTCCAAACTTGTTGACAACTTGGGACAAGCAAACTTGTTGACGCCTTGTTGGCAGATTTGCTACAAGATGTGAGACTTTTACGTGTGTACTTGAAAAATACAAGTAAAACGGCGACGTTTCGTCTCGAAAGGGACAAAATCAATCCGTTCACATTTTATGAACATATTTACGCTTGAACTTTTAGGATATTCGCGAGGTTTTGCATTTGTTGAATTTCTCGACATGGAAACCGCGAAAAAGTGGATAGATGATTGCAAGGTATACAAATATTCAAAGTATACAAGTATACAAATGTTCGCAGGAGAACGTTTTAGAAGAAAAATTATTAGCTAATTTCAGAACAATTTCCCGCGGGCCAATCAAATGTCACCAATTTCAAATTGTTGATTTCATGACATTTTGAGAATGTATATAGTCGCATTCTTGAAACTTTTGACAAGACGACACGACACTTTTTGCCAAAAAATAAGCGTTCGCGGTTTTGGTAATATCTTAAGGCAGATTTCCACTACACAACTTTTGCCTAAAACTGTCGCATGCAACCTGCTTACAACTTGAGTTGTACTGTGTGAATCAAGCACACAACTTACCTGCGACAACCTAAACGTGCTGTGTGCCTACTTGAGTTGTACTATTTACATAGTACAACTCAAGTTGTAAGCAAGTTGCATGCGACAGTTTTAGGCAAAAGTTGTGTAGTGGAAATATATAAATCTGCCTTTAAAGTCCTTAAGATTTTTGTGTAGTTATGGCTTGAACTGTTCGACTATCCTATAACATATTTTTATTGTTGAAAAAAACATTGTCACTGTCACATACGAAAGAAACGTCGAAAATCAGCCTTTATAAATGTGGTGTACCCATAAGATTTTAAATTAATAGCCCTTTGCCAAGGCTTCTGCATGTGAGAAGATCTCTAGGTTACTAACTTTGTGTACATTCCTAGGGTAAACTTGTGATTGAAGACGACTCTGTAATCATGGATTTCAGTCGTTCAAAAATGGCCGTCGAATCGCATAGAGATTGGGTGTGTAGCAAGGTACAGTATTATTACGGAATGATTCTGTCTATAGCTTTTACGGCGGGTTCAACTCACTGCAGTACACTGTATGTTGTCAGATCTTGGATATTCTGTTGTTTCTTTTTCCATAGTGTGGGACGCAAAACTTTTCCTCAAAGAGACGAAACACATGTTTTACTTGTAACACACCTAAAGATGGTAAGTCTGAAGCAGTCTACACCCTAGCCACCCCCCCAGACCCTAGCCACCCTTGCATGCCCTCGCTCTCCACTGGAAGCACATTTTTTATTTCTATTTTAAAACAGAAAATGACGAGACGAAAGAGCTTGGTAGTACGCCATGCAAAGGTACTGTAAACTACATAAAAATGTCCACATTCTCATTTAAGGGAACAGCGATTGTCACACAAATCACACCGAATTCGTCATCGTTAGAGCAACTTCTGTATTTCTGTATTCGTGTGAACGTCTTGTTCGCTGCACGCGACATGCAGATGGCATGTGCTGCCCGCTTTATGATGCAGGCTGTGCTCAAATTAGACAGACCTATTAGCCCTGAAATTCAAGGCACGTTTACAACACAGTATCTACTTGTGTACATCAGCAAAGGGAAGATGCATGCGAGTATGCACTGTTGTTCACATTCAATGTACAATGTACAAGTCTAATAAGACCTACAAACGTGAAATAATTCATCTACAAAGGTGAATAATCAGCTTTTCGTTGTAACTAAAAAGTATAGAAATTTCAAAGAAAAACACCATCAGGAGAATTGATCATATAAAATATAGACAAGAATTTTTCAGACTTCCTTTCAGGGGCGTAGGAAGTATCAAAAGATTGGAGGGCACCGGCTTCTAGGGGCACGTTAAGATATTGAAAAGGGCACCTAAAAAATTTTTCCCGGAAACGTTGGCGACGGGGGGGAGGGAAAAATTTTCCCGCCGTACCATACCGAAATTACACGTTCTTGACCAATTTTTTTTTAAAAACTTGGAAATTTCCAAACAAAAAGGGCACCTTTGATGTTAATTTAGTATTTACAGCGACATTAGCTTCTACAAAAAGGGCACTTTTCATCACAAAAAGGGCACTTTTCATCACAAAAAAGGGCACTTTAGTCCTTTGGAAAAATTGGGGGGCCCCCGGTTCCGTGCCCCCCGGTTCCTACGCCCTGCTTCCTTTTTCAAAGTCATCGACTAAATGTGCACTTCTTGAATCTCTTCCGACTCATGCATTTTAATATTTGTCATCGAATAACCATCGATTTGATTATCTTGCAATATTCGCAGAATTGAGCCCGTATAAAATTCCTATCACTTGCATACAGCGACTGCACCTGTTTAAGACGGCGAATTGTAGACTGGGGTCAATTGTCATATTAAAAACCTCATTCTAACCATATCATTCCTAACCATATGTTGCAATTTTGAGCATCAAAGTTATTGCGACGTCATTCCGGAGCATTTCTGCGAAAAGTGAGCCCCGTGTTGTGAAAGGTGTACGATTTTAAATAAAGGAATCATCACGGTCATATATATACTCGGGCAAAAACGGCGTAAAGCTCTTTATTGATACAGTTTCATTACAAAAGTTCTATGCTGTATTTTACTATATAGTTCTCATTCTTCGAGGCCTGGATATTCTCACAACTGAAGAGACGGTATGTAGATGAGCACACAGTGTGCCAAGATCCAGTCAACGGGTTTTCACGACACAGATTAATCTGTTTAAACCGTGAGCTGTAATTATATAACTCACAAATCATTTTGGATTTTAGCCTGATTCTTTCTAAGTGGGTCATGTATAGTGAACTATAGTTGCATTTTTTGCAACTGCTACTGGCTAAGTCTAATAAATTTATAAAATTTACACTTAAAATTACCATTTACAAAACAGCAGGGCTTAAAAAATAGGCGTACGGACGTCCGATTGTACGCCGAAAGTAGCTTGGTGTACGCCAATAATTTCAAATGTGCTTAAATAGCCTACCAATGCTTGTAAATTTATTGTAACCGTTATTCATCCATCATTGAAAGGCTTTCAGAAAGTCAATTTAGCTTCTGTAATGCCATAATTAATAGCCATGTTAACGTACTCGTCGAATAATACCGTTTTAAAACTCGTCATAAGAGGAGTACTGTTTAAAACACGAGCAGCAGTGTTTTATCGGATATAAAGACACGAGGCGAAGACGAGTATCTTTAGGTCTGATAAAACACGCACTGCGAATTTTTTAAATTGCTTCAAAAATTATCGATCTAGTAAGTTCATTGGCGAAGTAATTTTCAAAAAATACGTTGTGTAAGTCGAGAAGATCAAAGTTAAAGTTTATGTAAATCAAGGGAAATGTCTATCACATATAAAGATACGACACGCTTTTGTGTTTTCCTCATGAATTATTAATGAGTTTTTTAATCAACTATACAGTACGCACAGCCAATACACGACTGTCCAAATATCATAGAATCTAGCTTTATAAAAATGCTGATCAAAATATCGTTTGGACGTATCATCTGATCTGGAATGTTCATTTAATGTGTCTGTGGAAAGCGAAGTTATTCTGGACCATACGCAGTTCTACGAAGCATCAGCATTCAGTATTTAAACGGGGATTAATCTACACCAATTCTTTCTCTGATATTATGTCATTGTTTTTCAGATCCGCCAATCGCTAGCTTCGTTTACATCTACGCCTATCTTCGATGTACGGCTCATTAAAGACAAGCTCACTGGCACGTCAAGAGGATTTTGTTTCATTGAACTGGGCTCCATTGAGGTAAGTCGTCCGTTTATATTTATACTAGATATCTTTATCAGTTCTAAACTGTTCTCCCTAGAGGTCCAGTAAGGATCATCTCTTATTGATCCAGTGTTACTACAGGAGGAAACCTAAACTAAACTAACTTTATTTATACTGGATATCTTTATCAGTTCTATACTGTTCTCCCTAGAGATCCAGTAAGGGTCATCTTTTATTGATCCAGTGTTACTACAGGAGGAAACATAAACTAAACTAACTTTATTTATACTGGATATCTTTATCAGTTCTTTACTGTTCTCTCCAGAGGTCCGGTAAGGATCATGTCGTATTAATCCAGTGTTACTACAGCAGGAAACCTAAACTAACTTTATTTATACTGGATAGCTCTATCAGTTCTAAACTGTTCTCCCTAGAGATCCAGTAAGGATCATCTCTTATTAACCCAGTGTTACTACAGGAGGAAACCTAAACTAAACTAACTTTATTTATACTGGATAGCTCTTTCAGTTCTAAACTATTCTCCCTAGAGGTCCAGTAAGGTTCATCTCTTATTGACCCAGTGTTACTACAGGAGGAAACCTAAACTAACTAACTTTATTTATACTGGATAGCTCTATCTGTTCTAAACTACTTGCGAAAACGTCAATTTTTACAAATAGTTTTTCTCCCTCAGGAAGCGACTCAGCTCAGAGAAGAACTCCAAGCTGCATCATTCACAGTTGATGAAAAAGTTTTGGTTATATCTTACGCCAAGTTTGGTACAAATCCGTCCAAGTCAGGGTATTGTGAAATATATATTATTCAAATCTGTTGCAAAACAAGTTACTACAACAAGTTTTTTGAAGTGTTTCAAAATCACTCTATAAAAGACTTCAAGTGAATGAGATAACGTCTCGAGCGAACCGAGACCCTGGTCACAAAGGCAGAAGGCCCATTTACTAACAGTTGTTACAAAACTAGTTGTTACAAATCTGTTCACAAGCTGTTGACAAGTTGTGTTCGCATTGCTTGTTCCCAGTTGTAACAAGTTTGGATCAAGCTGTTAACAACTTGTAACAAGCTTGATGGCATTATCAGACTTGTTACAAGGTTGTTCTAACAAGTCGGATACAGTCATGATATAACAAGAATGTTACAAGGTTGATGACACAAGGTTGTAACAATATTGTTATATCATGACTTTATCAGACTTGTTGGAACAACCTTTTGACAAGTCTGATAATATCAAGAAGGTTCTTACAAATTGTTAACAGCTTGTTCCATACTTTTTGACAACTTGGGACAAGCAGTGCGAACACAACTTGTTGACGGCTTGTTGGCAGGCTTGCTACAAGATGTGAGATTTTTTCTTGTGTAACCAAAGTCTCTGTATTTCAATTTAGGACTGTCGCAGTTGGCAGCTGCTCATCCAGCGCTACCACTTCGATCAGTGAGACACCATCTACGTCATCAACAGCCAACCCATCACGTTCAAAGTTTGCCGCCAACGCAATAGCCCAAGCTCGTGCAGCTGCGCAAATGGGCCACACCACTGACCCACAGATGGGGAGCTCTATGGATCACTACTCCACTGCTGAGGTATTTATAAATATCGCAGATTTGTGCTTTCAACACATGCGTTTCACTAAGCACTACCGTGCAGCAGACGGTCAACCTGCAGTTATCAGAGTGAGAAAATCAGTGTTTTCATCATCTTGTATTTGGAGGCAAACAAATTTCGTTAAGAGATATAGTGTAACTTTCGTGCTCCTATAAACGTCAATTCTGAAGCTGATCATTGTCTGTTGCAACGCTTGCTTAAATCCACCAATATTGTTCTGTATTGGATTCCCTGTGTTAGAGCAGTAGACTTAGTCAGCTAACGAATATTTTTGTTTTTGTTTTACAGACTACTTTCCCAGCTACACAAGCAGGTTGGTACATTGTACTGTCATGTGACTGGTCATACTGAGTTATTGATCTGGCCATCATTAATTAATATCACCACCACCACCAATATCGCCGTTATCGTTATCACATCCATCATCACCACCATCATTACCAGCATCGTCATTATCACCATGACCACCATCGTCATCACCATAACCATCATCACCATCACTACCATCATTACCAGCATCATCACCATCACCACTATCATAACCATCATCATCATCACCAATACCAACATCATAACCATCACTACCATCATCATTACCATGACCACTATCATCATATCCATCATCATCACCACCACTACCATCATCATTACCAGCATCATCACCATAACCACTATCATAACCATCATCATTACCACCACTACCAACATCATTACCAGCATCATCACCATAACCACTATCATAACCATCATCATCACCACCACTACCAACATCATTACCAGCATCATCACCATAACCACTATCATAACCATCATCACCACCACTACCAACATCATTACCAGCATCATCACCATAACCACTATCATAACCATCATCATCACCACCACTACCAAGATTACCAGCATCATCACCATAACCACTATCATAACCACCATCATCACCATCATCATCACTACCATCATCATTCCCAGCATCATCACCATAACCACCATCATGACCACCACTAACACCGTCATCGTCATGACAACACCTCTTATCATGACTATTACCTTCAGCTTCTTCTACAGTCCAGGACACGGCAGTGAGCTCAGAAGTGTCAAGTGAAACCTCAACCGTCACTCCAGTTGACAGTACAGCTCAGACGCCAGCCCCACAAGCCATATCATCTTATGTATATGACACTGCCAGCGGGTACTATTATGATACAACCACAGGACTGTATTATGACCCGACCACACAGGTAAGATCAGATATTGTAATGGTGAATACTAGATTAAATGTATTTGTATAATGATGCTACATGACATCTCTCATGCAACTCTTGTTCTCGTTTGATCAAGCAATGAAAGTTGAGAAAACTCTCATGCAAACTCTCGCTTGTCAACTCTCATGCAACTCTTGTTCCCGTTTGATCAAGCAATGAAAGTTCAGGAAACTCTAATACAAACTCTCGCTTCTCAGCTCACAATTTTATACTATTTTACTTCTTAATTTTCATTAGTATTACTACAACGGCACAACGCAACAATACATGTATTGGGATGCTACGACACAACAATATGTTACCGTTGTATCGTCGGCTAGCACAAGGTAATCTTTTGTACCATTAAATCGGTTTAAACTCTTTCTAAATAACTCTATAGGCCCATTTTCACTCAAGAAAAATTTCCACGGACAAAAAAAACATTTTCCGAAAATATCATTGTTATTAAAGTTGAAAATCCAATAACATTTTCAAAATTTTCTTTCTGCGGAAAATTTTCGGCCCAAATGTGGTAGCAATTTCCACACGCAATACAAAAGTATACAAAATTTGCGAACTTTGCAAGGCTATATTTTCCGCATTTTACAACATTTCGCAACCAAACTTTGCAATTTTACTCATTTCAGTATGCTCTTTCTAGCTGTGGTGATTTATTTGCATCTCCTTGCCTAGTTTTAAAATTAGTCTATAATGGAAATTGTTTATTGAATCGTAACTGTTTATTACATTTATGATATAGTGACACACAAGCTGCTACCTCAGCCGTCCCGGCTCAACCCCCAAGTGAAGCAGAAAATACTGCAACCAGCAAAGGTAGGATTTTTTTTTATTTTGTACACAGTACAGGGTTCGTAGCGGTCTTTGAAATCCTTGAAAGTCTTTAAATTGGAATGCAGGTCTTTGAGGTCTTTGAAAAGTCTTTAAATTGTGCGAAAAAGCGAAGAAAGTCTTTAAAAAGTCTTTAAATTCTTTAGTGAGGAATTGATTGTACGATTTCCTAGCTAATAAAATAGATTGATTGAATCACGATTTTCGCAAAAATCGACGAAAAGGCGCATTTTAGGATGTGATTTGACGGGACTAATTACTGGGTAAAAATGGTGCTTACACTCGCAATTTTTCGACACCTGATTGCTCTCAAAGATCTTTGATAAGTCTTTGAAAATAGGCAGAAAAAATCTTTGAAAGTCTTTGAATTTTTTTGGTCTTGGAGACTACGAACCCTGACAGTAGTATTAAGCCCTGTACAGACAGGAAATTTTTCCTTGACAAATTTTATTTGATGTTTGTGATGTTACTCTGAGGGTATATCTACACCGGGCAAGCTTGAAAAATCTGCCTGGCCACGGTGGGAATCGAACCTACGACCTTTGGAATACTACAGCCCAGTTGGCAGAGCAGTAGCTCAGTTGGCAGAGCATTGGGCTAGTATTCCAAAGGTCGTAGGTTCGATTCCCACCGTGGCCGGGCATATTTTTCAAGCTCGTCCGGTGTGGATATACACTCAGAGTAACATCACAAACATCGTATTCACCTGAATACATAACACCAACACAGAAATTTTATTTGCTTTTGTGTACGGTAAACTTATCTGAAGTTTACATCACAGACTAACTTTTTCGTTTTATCTTTCAGAAAAGCAAAAGAAAGCTAAAAGTTTAAATGCGAAAAAGGTTCGTAGCTATAACCGAAAGTTTAAATCCCGAATCCTGTGAGGTTTTGTGATAAATTGCGGTAGAAATTGATTGTTTGATGTTAAACTAGATCGCTAAAGACATGGAGAGATGGGCGAAAAAACAAGCGAAGAATAAAGAAGCGGCTCGTCCTCAGGCCACTGCCCAGGCAACACAGGACACGGTCAAAGAAAGCACATATCAATACGACCCCAATGATTTGAAGGTTAGTTGGACGGCTACTGAAGTTTTAACGCAACCTAGATAGTGACTGTACAATATTTCAAACGGTCCATTAAGCTGTCGTGGTTTGTGAACATGATCTAACCATGCTTAACTCAGCAGTGAATTTTGTACAACGTCAGTTGACTTTTTAAGGTACACACGCAAAAATCTCACATCTTGTAGCAAGTCTCCCAACAAGTCGTCAACAGGTTGTGTTCGCACTGCTTGTCCAAGTTGTCAACACAAGTTTGGAACAAGCTGTTAACAACTTGTATTATCAGACTTGTTGCAAGGTTGTTTCAACAAGTCCGATACAGTCATGATATAACAATATTGTTGCAATCTTGTGTCGTCAACCTTGTAACATTCCTGTTATATCATGACTGTATATCAGACTTGTCAGAACAACCTTGTAATAAGTCTGATAATGTCATCAAGCTTGTTACAAGTTTGTTAATAGCTTGCTCCAAACTTGTTACAACAACTGGGAACAAGCAGTGCGAACACAACTTGTCGACAGCTTGAACATCAGATCACATTAAGGCAGCCCACATTCAAGAACATGTACTACCTCTGCATGATCTAACCATGCTTAACTCAGCAGTGAGTTCTGTACAACATTAGATCACTTTAAGGTAGCTCACATTCAAGAACATGTACTACCTCTGCATGATCTAACCATGCTTAACTCAGCAGTGAGTTATGTACAACATCAGATCACTTTAAGGTAGCTCACATTCAAGAACATGTACTACCTCTGTATGATCTAACCATACTTAACTCAGCAGTAAGTTCTGTACAACATCAGATCACATTAAGGTAGCTCACATTCAAGAACATGTACTACCTCTGCATGATCTAACCATACTTAACTCAGCAGTGAGTACTGTACAACATCAGATCACCTCAAGGCAGCCCACATTCAAGAACATGTACTACCTCTGTATGTTCTAACCATGCTTAACTCAGCAGTGAGTTCTTACAACATCAGATCACCTTAAGGCAGCCCACATTCAAGAACATATTTAAGTTGTGAAAGATGTAACTCTGCTGACACGATGTATCTTATGTACAGGGTGGTATCATAATGAGCGTTACTGGCTCGAGTAATATTACGTCACTTGCGACAGCGAGTCCACTGGCCGCTTTATCTGAACTGGACGATCCTGTTGCCACCTCTGCACCACCAGCAGGTATGAATTACTTGATTTTCAAATACGAGTTTGTTTTAAAATGCGTTGGAGTACACGCGTAAAATGTCACATCTTGTAGCAAGTCTGCCAACAAGCCGTCAACAAGTTGTGTTCGCACTGCTTGTCCCAAGTTGTCAACAAGTTTGAAACAAGCTGTTAACAACTTGTAACGAGCTTGTTGATATTATCAGACTTGTTGCAGGGTTGTTCCAACAAGTCTGATACAGTCATGATATAACAATATTGTTACAACTTTGTGTCGTCAACCTTGTAACATTCTTATATCATGACCGCATCAGGCTTGTTAGAACAACCTTGTAACAAGTCTGATAATGCCATCAAGCTTGTTACAAGTTGTTAAGGTTACAGGACACCCTTTCTGGCGTTTTGCGGAAAATCGCTACTGCGCGCTCAAAATCAGTCCAATTTTCATAAAATTTTCACCAAATGTTCGCCAGTGCATGCAAAATATGGTAAAGTTATAAAATTAACAAACAATAAAATAATGTAAGAATTATTCAGTAAAATCTTAAATCGCGGTATCGTTACGCTTTTGAGTTGTGCTCCTGCTGGTTTTAAGGTATATTAGTGAAAATATCATTTTTAAACAGTAAAATAGTTGTTCTTAAAAGTGTTCGGAAATTTTTGTTTATTTCGTCATTCCGCTGATATGGCGATTTCTTTGACGACTGCAATATATTTCTGAATTGTTTGAGTGAATTGCTCTTTAATATTAAAATATCCAAAATTAGAACAAAGCCGAAAATAGTTTTGGAACTGACGTCTTTAGCTATATCCTGTGAAAATTTGAGAAAAATTGGATGAAACCCGCAGGAGAACAACTCGTTTGAAAATCAGTAATTACCGTAAAATTCTTCGGGAGAAAATTGAATTTGAACATTACATTTTCAATGTTTTTCTTATTGCCGCGAAATGTATTATATTAAATAACTCAGCGAGTTTTCAACATTTTTCGTTCAAACTTGGTCAGGTAGTAGAACTAGTCTAATGCTTTCATGGAAACCAATAAAAAATTTTTAGGCAAAATTAACACTCAAAGGTGTCCTGTAACCTTAATCGGATATTTATTTGTCTAATTTGCATTTATCCTTGCTGCCATGACTTGAATCGAATGCCCCGTTACGTCACAGTAGATTTTGATTTTAGAATTTGCATCAGCGCACAGATGCGAGCGCCCGCAATCTGCATGCGATGCGTCGCTCTGCGGCCAAATCTAACGTTACGTAAGGCTCTAAAACAATAGATTTGACGATGTCACGTTAGATTTCACGCGGAAAAGGACTCGGGACCGATGCATTCACTGATGCAAAATGGATGCCAATAGATGTCAATCGAATCTAACGTGACGTAGGTGATGCATTTTGCTTCAACTGTGACGTCGGAGGATTCGGTAAAAAAAAATTTTTCGCGAAATTATTGACGCTTAAAGTGTCGCAAAATAACAGAAAGTACACATTTGCGATCGCACGTCGCATATTGGACTTATTTTGACAATTTCGACTGTTATTGAGACTATTTAAATCGGATTTCATCCTAAATAATGTATTCCTGACATGGAGTCAATTTTAAGCAAAGATTTGCGAATTGATAGGAGATAATTTATTACTGAGTGCTTTGACTATTGACGATATTATATATCTATATATTTCAAGCAACATGATTTCTCAATTTTGACCGATGCATTCGAATCGCTGGCATTGGTCTGGATCCGCCCCTGCCCGCACCCGTAGCACGTGCTCACTATGGAACTTGGAACTGTCTTGTAACTTGCTGCTCGTGAGCTGTTGCAACTCGTCAGCTGTTGCAACTCGCAACTCATAACTCGCAACTTAAAACTCGCAACTCGTAGTGGCAGCTCATAACTCGCAACTCATAACTCGCAACTCATAACTCGTAACTCATAACTCGCAACTCATATCTCGCAACTCATAACTCGCAGCCCATAACTCCCAACTTCACAGCTCGCAAATTACCAGTACCCAATATCAATTTGCTTAGAACAGTAAATATGGAATTTATAACATATCAATTATCTTAAAATAGTAAAAATTGAATTTATTACTTATATGTAGGCAAGCTGCTGTCTAATGTAGGCATGAAGCAGCTGCTAATGTGGGCAAGTCTCAAGAAAAAAATCAGAGTTTCGTGTTCACTTTGAAATTCCATCGAGAAAAGAGTGACATTGCAGCAGTCTCCTGATTAAGTTAATTCTTAATAGTCGCGTAAAAAGTTCTTGCGAACAAATTTTTATGCTCGAACCTCCAGAAGAAGCCGGTTATATATCGCGTCAGCTATGTTTTTGCAGAAACACCTTTTAATAACACGATAAATATATACCTTTTGTTTTTACCGCCATGTTTGATGACGAGTTGAATTTTCACTAAACCCGATATAAACAATATCAAGCAATTTGCTTGCGAATTTCTTGATGTTTTAGTGTAAAATATTGCGTTTTATGAACATTTTGTAAACATACGCATGGAACTTTAAGTTATTCACGTGGTCAGTAATAATTATATTACCATTTTCTCTTAATTAGTGTACGTTTTGAAGACCAAAATTGAGTAATTTTAGCAATACTGTACACCACTCAGTAAATCCTTTTTCTCGTGTTATAAATCCATTCATGTTATAAATCAATACCATATCCATGGCACGGGCGAAATATCTTCGTGGAAGTCGCCATTATACAGGTACCTATTAAGGTCTTGGAGGTAGCCGAGAATATCACGTCATGCTAAATAATTCGCCATTTGGGGTGGCAAAATTACTGGCCGCAAAGGGCAACGTAAATGCCTGTCTGATCAACTTGATAGCATACTAACCAACATAGATCAAATAATTCGAATGGTAAATGAAGACAAATTTTTCGCACCTTCACAGGATCCATTAACTAGATAGGTACCAGGACTGTTGCAACGACAACGATATGTACCAGGATAGTTTTTGCACATCTGACCTTCTCCACATTTCACAGGACTTTGAGAGCACTCATTGATATCTAAAATAGCAGAAATATATACAATCAATGTAGACGTATAGCTCCAAGAATTAGGCGTGAAAAATCATGATTCGCAACCTGTAACCACTACTGAAAAACCCTTGGTTTTCCAAAAAATATTGCTTCCAATTTAAATTCCGAGATTTTCAACTTTCTTTGATAAGAAAAGTACTTACTCTTACATAATCTGCTAAAGGCCTCGACCCGGTTGTTCGAAAGGCGTTTAACTCGCTAACCATCGTTTAATTCACTATCCGCCGAATAGAATTTGCACGCTTGATAAGTTGCCTTGCACAAAGTCGGTTTAGCGTTAACCACCTGTTAAAAGTTAAACGGTGTCGTGCGACCGTTTAAATCGTTATCCGAGGGGAAAAGTTGATGTTTGAACAGACAAGATCTGGAAAAGTTAAGGAAAGAGTTAAGGAGTTAAGGAAAAATCTGGACATTGTATACACACTATGTATTTTGCTTTGTTTGTGCATTATGCAAAACAAGTATGCAGTACTTGAAGTAGCAGGCCTAGAAAAGTGTTTTGTTCTATATTCTACAATACATACATGATACGCACAATAACTCGGGACCTGGAAACAAGTTGCATCAAAACGAGGCTGGTAGCCAGATGCCAAATTGTATAATTTGAGGCATTATGCATAGTGTGTATAGAACTGGATTGTTTCCTAAATCTTTACAGTATCAGTTGCTAACTTGCTATTTGTAAATTTTAGCTGTTTTCATCAATTATGACCACAGGCGGCCCATTCTCAGAATAAATGATCAGGTGTTGCGGGTTTTTAACGGTTTTTATAAACAAATTTATAGTCAACCAAAACTATTTTAAAAACATTCTTAAATTAGTCAAATAAATACCGGGTGTCCCAAAAAAAGTACTCCGGTTTGATTCGAAATAACTTATAAACAAGAAAAGCTTTTACAGAGAAATAACTTGCATCAAATAGAGGAAGGACTAATTTAGATTTTGATATATAACAGTTGTATTTCACTTAAAAATTCACGGAGATATTAATGTTTAAAATTCGGGATCATATTTCTGGATGTGTCTGAAATATGCCAAAAACAGCGTATCAAATATTAATCAAGATTTACCCAACTGAAACATGCACTATTACCTGTAAATAAATGACACTTGACAAATTGTTTACTATGATGAAACAAAGTATTATTATCTACAAAATACAAATAAGATTTATTCGTCCGAAATCCGCGTGTGTTCCTAGCACGAATACGTTTCCTTATTTCATGAGATCACTGCATCGCGAAGGATCGTCATGGATCGTTCGTAGTTCTGAATTAGGGCACGCTGTCACAATGGAATTGTGAATTTTCTAACTTCACATTGAATGAATTTTCTAACTTCTGCAACGTTCTGAAATCTTGTTAAGAACACCCAAACTCTTTTGCCTTTCTTAATCTTGGCAAGTTCAGAATAAACTGAGAATGAAACACAATCAAACCATACAACTCCATAAGTAAAGTCATAACAAGCAACTCCCCAGAGACATCCAACATTTTTGGAACAAAACGTAACAAAATAGTAGCTTTGATACTGTGATGTGTATTTGCAAAAAGCAATATTATTTCCTCCATTAAAGAACAATATTCATCCTGCTCTAACCGAGAAATAATCAACTTTGTTTTGAACCCATGAAAAACATAAAAAATAGGTTATTTAAGAAAAATTGAAGTGCCTGCCTTGCATGGTCTTTCAGTACCTTAAGTTTGCAAAGACCTATTAAATACTTACATAATTTCGAACGTTCATATTTCAGGAAACAATGAGTTAAGACTTGCATGTAAGATGTCTAAATCTACGCCATATCCCTTACAAACCCTAACGACAATTCGCTGAAATACAATTTACCCTGATATGTCATTAAGCAAACAAACGCTGGAGTTAAAATTTGATACGCCGATTTTCGCTAATTTTAGACACATCCAAAAATATGCTCCCGATTTTGAACATTAATATCTCCGTGAATTTTTAAGTAAAATGCAACTGTAATATATCAAAATCTAAGTTAGTCCTTCCTCTATTTAATGCAAGTTATTTCTGTTTGATAGCTTTACTTGTTTAGAAGTTATTATAAATCAAACCGGAGTACTTTTTTTTGGGACACCCGGTACATTTTAACAATAAAATATAGTTGACATGATAGTATAATACCTTTGCATTCTTTTAATTACTCCATGAGCTCATTTAGAGCGGTTGATGTAACATTTTCTGTGGCCTACATTGTGTGTGCTCATCTATATATAATATAACAGTGTAAAAGGCTAATCACTGGCGGCACGACCGCATCGCCTTCAAAGTCAAATATCTCCGCTCAAACTTCTCGTACGCCAAAACAAATTCGATTACATCTTTTCGCAAAGATTTCTCTTTTTAAATAATATGGTTTGATCATAGCTTGGGCAAATTTAGCGACGAACGGAACCAAAATCTCCTGAATTTCGGATACTGTTCA